TCCCTTGACTTGTTTTTGGGTGGGGGAGGGGGCACACCGAAGGGGCTACAGGCTTACTCTCGCCCTGTGCTCAAGGACCACTCCTGGTGGGCGCCTCCCCTGTCCTCTCTCTCTCTGGCCCATGCTGGCGGCCTACTGCACCACGGCTCCGCTGAGAATTGAGTTCACACGCCAGGCAGTTTCCTCGTCTGAAACATCTCATCTTCCACTTTACTTTGGTTTTGCAGTTGGGGCCACGGTGGACAGGCGTGTTCTTGACTGCTGCGACTGCATCTAACCCCCCCGAGTCGTTAGGACGGTCCCCAAATTCATGGTGCAGCTCTCACTAGGTATCACCACCAGCTCTGCAAGCTTGTCACCATCCCTCAGAGAAACCCGATTCCGGTACATGTTATTTGTCCCCAAGCGTCTGCTCTGCCTCTCAGCCTCAGGTCAACTGTCTGCTTCATCCTGTGCTTGCCAGGATGCCCCTGGCTGTGGCACCTTGTTGCTTCATGGTTGTTTTTATTTTTTTTTTAATTACTACTGAGAGTATCTCGCCCGCATGGCAAAGCCTGGCAAGCTACCCATGAGGTATTCGATATGCCAAACACAGTAACAATTGTCACAATGGAGACGTTACTGGGCCCGCTTGAGGAAATCGATGAACAACGGGAGGACAGTGACTAAGTAAAACTTGAACTCATCTTGTTGTGGTTGCCTTCCCCCTGCAGCAAGGCTTTCGACAGAACAGGGAGCATGACCTTCCCCCCCCCCCCCAAGTCCTGGGAACCAGCCCCCGCCTGAGGGGCCACTGTGTCCTGGGGCCCTTCAGCCTTTGGTCATGCATGAGGCACTCTGGTTCCTATTTCCGGTCTCTAGGCCGGCCGAGGCTGGGTTGCGTCCTGTCTGGGGGACCTGTTTTCTCCCTGCTCATCCCAGGGTAGATCCCGGGGTTTTGCCCCTGTCCGGGGCCCTGGGTTCTGTCACATCCAGAGCGTCATGTGCTAGACCCAACCCTGCCTCTTTTTTCAAAAAAGGAACTTTTTGGTGGGATAAAAATGTGCAAAGTCTACAAATGTTAAGTATACGGCTCAATGCATTTTTTAAACCAAGTACTCCCCCTGGTTCAAGAAACAGATTCTAACCAGAATTCCAGAAACTTCTCTTTGCCACCTCTTCCCTTTATTTCTATCAAAGACGGATGCTTCTCTGCCTGCTTTGCCCATCTCTTCCCCTTACAATGATGGAGCCCTAGAGTACGTAGTGTGTGTGTCCATGTACAAGTGTGCCTTTTTGAGATCCAATACAATTATCTACGTTTGGTTTTTTTGTTTTTTGTTTTGTTTTCTTGGGTTATACCCGGGTTGGAGTGATAGCGCAGTGGTAGGGTGTTTGCCTTGCATGTGGCTGGCCTGGCCAAGCCAGGTTCGATTCCTCCACCCCTCTCGGAGAGCCTGGTAAGCTACCGAGAGTATCTTGCCCGCACGGCAAAGCCTGGCAAGCTCCCCGAAACATATTCAATATGCCAAAAACAGTAACAACAAGTCTCACAATGCAGATGTTACTGGGCCCGCTTGAGCAAATTGATGAACAACGGGAAGACAGTGCTACAGTGGGTTACACCTAGCAGTACTCAGAGCTTACTCCTGGTTCTGCGCTCAGGGATCACCCCTGGTTCTGTGCTCAGGGGGCCATATGTGGTGCCAGGGGTTGAATCCTGGCTGGGCTGTGCCAAGCAAATGCCTTGGCTGCTGTCCAGTCTCTCTGGGCCCCATGTGATGGCTTGAGTTTGCTCTGCGCCTCTTCGGGACAACATCTCACTGGGAGAGCACATCAAACTCCGGCCCACTTTCCTATCGAGAGACATGCGAGTTTTCAGTCGTTTTCTGCTTGTGGGGACGATGCTGCGGTGAGCGTTTTGTTCTAGTTTGTTAACTAGGAACGGGGCCGCTGGACACGGAGTATGGAGGGGCTCAGTTCCACGACAGTTTTCCTGATGAGCGGGTGAGAATCCCGATTTCTCCCCAGGTCCACCCGCCTCTGCCAGCTCTTCTTTAAAAAACCATTCTGGATTGAACCTGGCACTATGTCACTGTGGTTTTAGGTCTCCATTTTCCCAGCGGACCAGGGACATCAACCCCTTTCCCATAGGTGTCTGACGTGGGTCATCATAGACTATGAAGTGTCTGTTTAGGTCTATCCCCTGTCTCTCTAGGAGAGGGTGTGCCAGACGGGTGTGTTACAGATTTCTTCTTGTCTGTAGCCTGCCATCTCGTTATCTTTGTGGCAACTTTTTTTTTGGTTTTTTTTTTTTTTTGCTTTTTGGGTCACACCTGGAAATGCACAGGGGTTACTCCTGGCTCTGCACTCAGGAATTACTCCTGGCGGTGCTCAGGGGACCATATGGGATGCTGGGGATCGAACCCGGGTCGGCCGCGTGCAAGGCAAACGCCCTACCCGCTGTGCTATCGCTCCAGCCCCTTTGTGGCAACTTTTGATGAACAGAGATTCTTAAATATGACGAAGCCTGTCCCTCTTTTCCTTTCAGGTTGATTTTTCTGTGTGCGATTTGCTTCAGAACTCTTTGCCTCTTCCAGGATTGCCAGGTTATTCCTCATGTCCTCTTCTGTGAGAGTGCCCATTTTCAGAAATAATAATGTTTGTCCTTTTCCTGAGCCACACGGAACTGATGCGAATGTATGGTGTGAAGTAGGAGTCACACTGCACTCTGCACTCACGCGGCTGCCCGCTGACTGGGAAGGCACCAGGCGTAATAGTGGGCACAGCCCTGTGGGTAGAAAGCACGTGACTGGGTGGGAGAGGGGCGGGACTGAGGGCACGTGGCTCGCAGGGTGGTTCCCGCCAACTCTAAGGCCAGGAGTCACTCAGCACAGAGCCAGGAAGAAGCCCCGAGCGAGGCCAGGTGTGACCCCCGCACTCCCCAAAGAAGCAAGAAAATCACGTGATTAGAGCAAGAGAAAAAGTCTGACTTCGCTCAGGGGAGTCTCCATTCGGTTCCTTCCTCGGCTCTGCGCGGCGACTGATTCTGATTTCAGCATCACCTGAAGGAAGTTCCACAACAACCTGAATCTTTCTTTCCATTTCACACCAAGAGTCGCTTTCACTGAGCACTTATCTGACAGTTTTAAGCGCCTGGGACGGTCTTGTTTGGAAACTTTCTGGCAATTTACGAGGAGGTCCTTTTAGCCCCCTTTCCCGCACGGGTAGGGTGAACCCTGGAGAGGCCGGATCCTCCCCCTGGGCCACGGCACGCGGGGATTCCCCCGGCTGCCACGGGAGAGGTCGGGTCTGCGCGATCCCAGGGGTCCGTGGGCCGGTGCAGACTTGACATCCTTGGGGTTCTGGGAACTGCAAGACACACGAGCGACTGTCTGGGCCAAACACCCACTTGACGGCCGAGGAAAGAGTGTGTCAGAGAGACCACAGGAATGCCCAGACTGCAGATGGCATGGTGGAGGCAAGCCCCCGGGCTCCTCCTCCAGTGCTCACTCTGCTTGGCTACAGCCGCCTCTCCGCTTCTGCAACGAGGATGTGGGATGGCCGAAGCTCACCCCAGTGCCAGGTCCCTGACAATGCCTAAGTGGTGGGTGCCAGATTCCCTTGGCTTTAATGAGCAAGGAAACTGGAACCCTCCGCCCCGCTGGAAGCACAAGAACGGGCCAGGGGCCAAATTCGGTTTAACAAGGTGCACGGAGACGTCCACGAAGAAAAAAAAGGAGAATTTCCGAAGCCCAGACCCCACAGAAATCAGGCTCGCAAGATTTGAATGGAACATAGGAATAAGTTCGAGGGTGGGGCTGTCTCCCCACTCCATCTTTCCACTTCGAACCATGCCCTCAAAACAGGAACTCGCTGGCCAGAGGCCCGGCGGCCGCGCCTGTGCCAGGAGCCTCGGATGACTATCCAGTTACTTGGGTTTTCTGAGTCAAGGGATGATTCGGTAGAAAATGACAGACAGCAAAGCGGCTGAAACTGCTCGCTCTGGGGAGCCCCCGGGGATGGGGGGACACACACCTATCTCGGCTAGAGAACTGCCCTTTCCCGGCATAGGTTTCACCTGAGACAGCATCCTCGGGCTCCTGGGGTCCTGCCCTCGACAGCATGCCCTTGACATAGGAGCCTGGCACGGAGCCGGGCATGGGACAGGATGCCCTCGGACACAGGAGCCGGGCATGGAACAAGATGCCCTTAGACACAGGAGCCTGGCACGGAGCCGGGCATGGGACAGGATGCCCTTGGACATGGGAGCCTGGCATAGGACAGGATGCCCTCAGACACAGGAGCCCGGCATGGAGCCGGGCATTTCCCCGGGATCAGGCATGAGCTGGTGGAGAGGCAACTCTGGGGACGAAGGACTCACTCACAGCTCTGGGCTATGGAGAAAAAGCCCAGAAATGGGACCAAGTAGAAAACTGCCCTGAAGTGGAATTTTTCTTTTCAAAAATCTACGGGAGTCCCTCTCGAGAATACAAGGAACAAATGCTTTTCGACATTTTCGAGGGCAAAATAAAAAGTTGCTTGTGGGTGTTTATTATTGTTGTAGTTGCAGCTGTTTAAGGGGCCATATGGGAGCCGGCGATGCCCTGTGCCTGGTGTCCCGGGGCGCAGCCTTGGAGCGGCACCTGCCCTCCGTGTCCCATTTCCCCGAGCCGCACCCAAGCTGGGCCTGATTCCAAGCACGTGCTCCCTTCCCACAGTCCTTCGCTCGCCCCTCCCGGGGTCTTCACCAAGCTGTGCGACCACCCAGGCCTGAATACAGAATATTTCACTTTGCCCACGGGACACCCGGGCCCATTGGACTGGCTCCCCACCCCCATGCCCATCCCCCAGCCCTTTTCTTTTCCCGGTTGGCCAAGGGAAGCCTGGCAAGTGCGATGGCTCAGCACCCTTGGTGAACAAACCGGGGCGGAAGCAAGATGCGGGGGCTGCGGGGGGAGCAGCAACTCCCCGTGGGCCTGGGGGGTGCTGCCCCCGCGCCCCAGAGCAGTGCATCTTACCATCAGGGAGCGGCCGGCAGGACAGGGCGTCATCGAGGTCTCGGGCAGTGGACGGGTCGATGGTGAAGACACAGTCCTTCCTGGAAGAGAGTGGAGATATGGTCAGCGTGGCAGAGGAGGCTCTGGGTGGGCGACAGTCGCTCCCGTGCTGACCGGCCGCGGGCACTTGTCTGTGTCCTCTGGGAGGCGGATGGGGTCTCAAAAGGAGGGGTCAGAGCCATAATGCAGCGGGGAGGGCACCTGCCTTGCACATGGCCAACCCGGGTTTGACCCCCAGCACCCCAGATGGTCCCCCAAGCCCACCAGAAGTGATCCCTGAGTGAGCCGGGAGTGAGCCCCCACACTGGTGCCTCCATCCCGTCTCATGCAGAGCTCCGCGGCTCAGAGGTCCAGAAATGGCAAAATGGTTCATGATGGCATAACAGAACGCGCCCCTCGGCAGTGAGTGGGAAATGGAACTAGTGCATCTCTCTTGCCATGGCTTGGGCGAGCTCTTGAGGGCGGGGGGTGGGGGAGGTATTTGGTTGTGTGAAAGCAACTGTGGTTCCACAGACGTGTCACCTGAGCACAGACGGTGGGCTGGGGGTCCCAGCCCATGGCACGACGCCCGTCAGTATCTTGGCTGTGGCTGTGGTCACAAATGTCCAGACACTTGAATTAAAATGTACTGGACTGTATTATACAATAAAGGCCAGTTTCATTATTTATTAATAATTTTAAAAAAACCCTAAAATTTTAAAACCTAATTCTCAAATCAAGGAAGGTTAATTGTTCATTTCTAATAAAGCTAATTTTCAGGTGCTAGAATGATGCCTTAGTTTCTTTCATATTTGTTCATCTTTTCTAAGATTTCACACAATTACGGTCTTTATAATAAAAAAGAAATGAGCACGAAAGAGAATTCTCCCACACCCACACGAAAAGTAAAATTGTCCTCTACATTAGTGCTACTGCTTTGCTCAAGAAGATACGGCAGGCCCGACAGAGAGGCTGATTCTAAGCCCTCCCAGACCTCACATGGCCCTGGATGGTGTCTCAGCCTCCTCCGAAGGGAAATTGCTCAAGTTTTACCCACCTGGGCTTCTGGTGGGGGTCGGCGGGGACCCCAAAGGGAGAGGCCCCTTGCCCTCCCCAAGGGAGTGGCATGCCAGGGTTATTTTTCTTTCTGGTGCTATTCGCTCATGTGCTCCCTGCTGGTAAATCATCATGATCATCATCATCATCATCTTCTCCTTTTTTTTTTTATTGAATCACCATGAGATACAGTTACTAAGCTTTCAGGGTTGAGTTTCAGTCAGACAATCATCGAACACCCATCCCTCCACCAGTGCACATTCTCCACCACCAATGTCCCCAGTATATCCCCTTTCCAACCCTCCTCCTGCCTCCATGGCAGATAATTTTCCTCATACTCTCTCTCTACTTTGGGGCATTATGGTTTGCAATACGGATACTGAGAGGCTATCATGTTTGGTCCTTGATCTACTTTCAGCACACAGCTCCCATCCCGTGTGATCCCTCCAACCATCATTGTCTTAGTGATCCCTTCTCCATCCCAGCTGCCTTCTCCCCCAGCTCCTGAGCTGCCGGTAAATCTTTTTTTTCATTTCATTTCATCATCCTGTTATTCGTCGATTGCCTCGAGCAGGCCCCAGTAACGTCTCCTTCATCCTAGCCCTGAGATTATATTCAAGGCTCTTTAGGAGAATGAGACCCATCATTGTTACTGGTATTTGGCATATTTGGTACGCCACGGGGAGTTTGCCAGACTCTGCCCTGTGGGCAGGCTACATTCGATAGCCTGCAAGTTTGTCCAAAGTAGGAAGGAGACAATAAGATGTCATAAAAAAAAGTTCTGATAAGATGTCGCGCGGTAAATCTTATCCCCAGTCTAAACCTTCTATGATGTGCTCACGATGGAGATCAGGCATCAAACACCCATCCCTTCCATTTCAGAGTTTGTGACCCTGTTTCACGGCAACGTTTCACAGGATGACAAATACACTGATATTTATTTGCATTCTCTGCATTCATTCACTCATTCATTCTGGGGACTTGGGTGACACTCAGCGGTGCTCAAGGACTCCCGAATCTGTGCTCCTAAGACCCCGCGGTGCCAGGGCTGGAACCAGGGCTGGCCATGTGCAAGGCAAGAGCTTTAATGCACTCTCCTCGCTCCGGCCCCATCTCTCTCTTTTCTAAAAGAAGCAACAATGGGGCCGAGCTCACCAGAGCAGGGGCTGTGAGGGGCTGGGGACTAAACTCAGGGTTTCTTAAATGTGAGGCTTGTTCTCAACACTTGGTTCTCTCCCTGACCCCGCATTTTCATGTTTTCGATGTTTTACTTGAATGTGAAATCTTCTAATGTTCTAAACTGTAGGCTGGGGGGGGGGGGGGTGGCGGTTTAAGTAGGAGGGCGTGTGCCTCGCATTTGCAAGGTCCTGGGTACAATCCCCAACACGGCCAGGGTACCCCTGCCCCAGTAGAAAACACTCGGATGTCTTACAGTCGCATCAGCTTGGGATTTTGGCCAATCTGCGACTTGATTTGCAAAGGATCTGACTTGCAGAACTTTCAGACATGAGTCCTTATAACCCTGGCAGGGCCTATTTTCCTACTCCAAATTTATTCATTTATTTTTTCCCTTTTTTATTTTAATGAATCACCATGAGAAACAGTCACAGACTTACAAACTTTCTGATTGCATTTTAAATAATGTTCGAGTACCCTTCCCTCCGCCAGTGCCCACTCTCCACCACCAATGTTCCCAGTGTCCCTCCTGCCACCGCCACCCCTTCCTACCCCTGCTTCTGTGGCAGGCACATTCCCTCTTACTTTCTCTGTCCTTTTGGGTGTCATGGTTTGCAATACAGGTATCAAGCGGCCATCATGTTGGGTCCAGAGTCTACTTTCAGCACGGATCTCCCATCCCGAGCGAGCCCTCCAAGCATCCTTGACTTAGTGCTCCTCTCTCCATCCCAGCTACCTTTTCCCCCAGCGCACGCTACTCCGAATTCCTTGGGCCTCACATCCTAATTAAAACAGGGGAAAAGAACAAACTCCATCACGCGGAGCTGTGGCTGTGGGCTGCCTGACGGCATCTGTTTCAAGGCAGGTAACAAACATGAGTCTCTTGTCTCTGTGCCTGGCTGTCCTCACCGGGGCCCCTTGGATGAGGGTGGGTTGAGTTTCCCTCCCCACCCCGAGCAGAGCCCCGGCAGCTGAAGACCTCTGGTTCCACCATTTCTATGCTTAAGACCACTCTCCACACGTTCAGACGAGCCTCATGCATGAAGGAACCGGTAGAAGAACCCAGGTGTGTGGGACCCGGGGCGCAGATCTCCAAGCCTGCTCGGATTGGGACTGGGGCCTCCTCCACCCAGATACCCCATCTTCCAGTATGTAGGCGTTACACCCACCAAGTGCCCCGGCGCTGTGTAATCCCATCAATGGCCAAGACCCAGAGACTATAAAACCCTGCTCCGGGAAGCATGCAGCACGAATGCTGAATTTTATCATCTAGTTCTTATTCTGGAGAACCTGGCAGGCTACCAAAAGTATCCTGCCCACATGGCAGAGTCTGGCAAACTCCCTGTGGTGTGTTCAATGTGCCAAAAACCAGTAACAATGATGGGTCTCATTCTCCTGACCCTGAAGGAGCCTCGAATGTGGCACTTTTTAAAATCTCAGGGCTAGGACGAAGGAGACGTTACTGGGGCCTGCTCGAGGCAATCAATGAACAAGAGGATGACAGTGAAACAGTGAACAAACATGTTCCGAGGACAGCGACATCTGGGGGATCCTGTGTGGAGGAAGGCTCATGCGAGAGCGAGTGCAGGAAGGCAGAGAAAGAAGGTTTGATCCCCGGCAGCTGTACGGTCTCCTGGGCGGAGAGCTGGGAGTCAGCCCTGAGCACTGCTGGGAGAGCCCTGAAAGCAAACAAATAAAAACAAAACACACATGGGGCTGGAGCAATAACAGAGAGGGTAGGGTGTTTGCCGTGCACGCGGCCGACCCAGGTTTGATTCCCAGTATCCCAGATGGTTCCCTGAGCACTGCCAGGGGTAATTCCAGAGTGCAGAGCCAGGAGTAACCCCTATGCATCGCTGGGTGTGACCCAAAAAGTTAAAAAAAAAACCCAAAAAACAAAATACCACACACACACACACACACACACACACACAAAACACAAACCAAACTCATGGATTCCTGGCAGCGCCCGGTGGGGGATGCTGCCCTCCTGGTGACCACCTTGCAGGGGATGCCAGTGTTACTGTCTCCGAGGTTGTCCTGCTAAGTTGCCATCCTCTCTTTCTCATAAAACAGAGTCCCACGCTTTAGGATAACATTGCTTTGTCCTTTCTCCCTTGCCACAAGGAGCTTATGTTTATCGGTCACACCCATCAAAGTGCTCCTGAGTCACTCCCTGTTCTTTTGTTTATCTGTAACCACTTCTCTATGCTCTCTTCCCCAACCAGTTAATCAGCTTTTCCCCCTAATCAGATTCTGTTAATTCGTAAGGTCAGATCTTTCTAGGACACTGAACTTGTAAGTTAATATTGCCTCTCTCCTCTCCTTATGTCTTTTGAATAGTTTACTTTAAAGCAATGTCCTTTTGTACAGACACAAGAAGACAATTAATATTATGCTTTTGTAACTTGGGATTTAATTGGCTTCGAATATTATTCACTTCTGAGCATCTGCTTTCTCAACTTAAGCCTCAGTTGCCCTCACGTCCTAGCGCCCCCCAAAAGCAGGGTCCCAATGAGGGACTGGATGGAACCAGGGTAAGCGGTAAGCTATGTGCTACCTTGGCATCGAGATGGGCCTGGTCAAAGCGCCACAATTCTTAACTATAAGACCTTGACCATGGACAAATGCTGTCATGATCCTAAAGTAATGATGAGATTAGGACCCTGCTAGGGATAGGAAAGACTAATCTGGCCTGAGCACTGTAGTTTGAGATCTGTATGACCCCAGGGGAGCAATTCTATAAGCATAATGCATTTCTTTCTGTGTCCATACAAAATGATTAATATTATGAATGCTTCTATGTTTGTTGGACAAGAAGAGAAACACA